TTTTTGGTCCGCGTTCGGCCCGAACGGCCGAACGCCTCCCGAAGGGGTCCCGTACGGTCGGGCGTTCGGGTTCGGGCGTTCGGGTTCGGGCGTTCGGGTTCGGGCATTCGGCCCGTCTCGAACACCGGTAACCCTGTATATATATATATATATATATGTATATATATCGTCACAAACAGAACTGCCCAGTAAACCGTAGGCAGAGAGAGAGAAGAGGACAACAAATAGTCGAAGACAATTCAAATCGAGAGTATGAGTGCCAATTGCACTCTTAGGGGGGCGCTCGGTTCGGGATGTCTATGTTGCCTGTCGGTGATGACGGATGGTCGTCGGAGTGTCTCCCTGGCTCAGTTGGTGGTGGGAACCAACAGTCTGCGGGGTTCACCCGTGATGTGAGTAGGTGATGTGCTGCTTTGCTCCGTGTTGGATGTGTGGACGTCCTCGTCTGCGCTCCGTCGCTGCCCTGCTGCCTGTCCCGCTTGCTTTGCGTGCGTCTCTCTGCGAATTGCTGTGTTCGCTGTGTGGTGTGGCCGTGTTGCTAGTGTTGCCTTGCGCTTTGCTGCTTCGCTGCCGTGCTGCTCATCCGCTGGTCGTGCCTTCCGTGTTTGCTACGTGTGTGCCATGTAGTTGGGTTGCCTTGTTGTCGGTGCCTTGTGCTCCGCTCCACGGTTGCCGAGCTGCTGGTCCGCTCGCCTTGTCGTTCCCTGCAGCGCCGCTGCCTTGCTTGTGTTGTCTTATACTTCACTGCACGGCTGCCGCGCTGCATTCCTTGCAGTCACTTTTGGCGTTGTGCAGCCTTGTTGCCTCTACTGTATTGCCTGGTGCTTCACAGGGTTGTTGCTCGCTGCTGTGTTCCGTTTTGGACAGTCTGCCTTCAACAAGGGTCAAGGGGTTCATGACCCAAACCATCAAATACGGAGATACCGCAGATTGTCGAGGGTTCAGCCTCCTGATGAGTCGGCGCAATTCCGACGAAACAATCTTTCATTATCAATTTTTATTTTTTTCGGTTTCTGTTATTTTTTTGTGTACGTTTTTTGTAGTTTGGCTGGTTACTGTTTGCCTCGATGTCTTTTCCTTCTTTGGTTCGTGCTGTTTGTTTTCTGCCCGCCTTGTGTACTTTGTGATGTCTGGCGCTATGTGTGACGACCTTTCACGTCCAAGCTCAAGACTATTTCAGTGTTACCTTTGAAGTGGTTTCACTGATGGTGTTCGTGATTATGTCACGTTAGGGATATCATATACATGTGTGTTTATACACACACATCTCTCACACACACACATACACGCACATACAGGTGCGCGCGTGCATGGACGATGACGCCAAGAAGACAACCATGGTGATGGTTAGGAGGTCGACAATCGAGGAGGAGGAGAGGGAGGGGTGACGAGGAGAAAGTTGGAGGAGGGAGGAACGAGGGAAGAGGAGGGAAGAGGAGGAACGGGGGACGAGGATGGAAGAGGAATAGGGAGGACAAAGACTATGATGATGATGGACGAGGATAGAGGATGGAGGCTGGAGGAGAAGAGAGGAGGGCCATGAGCATGGATGGAGGAGGAGGGAGGAGGGCGATAAGCATGGATGGCGGAGGAGGGAGAAGGGCGATGAGCACACACACACACACACACACACACACACACACACACACACACACAATCAGTTATCTGTCGGTCGGTCCTTTTCCTGTTGTTTGTCCTCCCTCTAATTTTTTCAAGTATTTTTGTGTGTGCCCAACTGAGCACCCTTAGGTAGTGCTAAACAGTCGGTGGTTCCTCGTTTGGAGTGCCAACTGCACTCTTAGGGGGGCCGCTCGGTTCGGGATGTCTGTGTTGCCTGTAGGTGATGACGGATGCTCATCGGAGTGTCTCCCTGGCTCAGTGGGTGGTGGGAACCAACAGTCTGTGGGGTTCACCCGTGATGTGAGTAGGTGATGTGCTGCTTTGCTCCGTGTTGGATGTGCGGACGACCCCGTCTGCGCTCCACCACTACCTTGCTGCCCGTTCCGCTTGCCTCGCAGGTCGTTCTTGGCATGCTGCTGTCTTCGCTGTGTGGTGTGGCCGGGTTGTGGTGTAACTGGTGTTGCCTTGCGCTTCGCTGCCTTGCCGCCCGTCCGCTGGTCGTGCCTTCCGCGTCCTTTGCTTGCTTGCCCTGTAGTTTGATTGCCGTGTTGGGGTTGCCTTGTGCTCCTCAGCGTGGTTGCTCTGCTGGTTGTCCGCTTGCCCTCTCGTCCCTTGCAGTGTGGTTGTCTTGGTGGTGTGGCCTGGTGCTTCACGGCTTGGGTGCCGTACTGTGAGTTCGGCGCCGTGTTGTTCCTTGCAGTCATTCTTGGCGTTGCGCTGCCTGGTGCTCCGCAGGGTTGCTGCCCGCTGTTATGTTCCGCTTGGGGACAGTCTGCCTTCAACAAGGGTCAAAGGGTTCATGACCCAAACCATCATATACGGAGATACCGCAGATTGTCGAGGGTTCAGCCTCCTGATGAGTCGGTGCAATTCCGACGAAACAATCTTGTCATCATCAGTTTATTTTTTTCGGTCTTCCGATTTACTTGACTTGTATTTTTTTCGGTTTGCCTGCCTCCGTGTGCTTGTGTGCCTGTTTCGTGTTCTTGCATGTTGTCTGCCCTCCCGCCTCCACCATGCCCTCCAGCCTTTGACTTGATGTCCTTTTGCTTGCTTTGCTCTGATGTTTGCCTTGTCTGCCTGGTCTTGGCATCCTTTTGGGACTTTGCCTGCTGGTGTGCTTGCACGTTGTCTGCCCTCCCGCCTCCCCCTTGCCCTCCAGCCGTTGTATCTGTAGTATCTATGTTGTGCGCACTCAATGTCTTTTGCTTGTGAGTGCACTTGACTGCGAAGCGTTGGAGCGCATCTTAGGGAGGTAATGTTGAGTCTAGTCCCCAGGGAAAACCATGTCTTGGTGTGAAGCTGACGACTGGGGTTTACAATATACTTAAACATCACACACACACACACATGCAGATGCGCGCACGTGCATGGGCAATGACGCCAAGAAGACGGCCATAGTGATGGTTAGGAGGTCGACAATCAAGGAGGAGGAGAGGGAGGGATGAAGAGGAGAAAGTTGGAGGAGGGAGGAATGAGGGAAGAGGAGGGGAAGAGGAGTAGGGAGGACAAAGACTCTAATGATGACGGACGAGGATAGAGGATGGAGGCTGGACGAGACGAGAGGAGAGCGACGAGGAAGGAGGAGGAGGAGGAGGAGGGAGGAGGGTGATGAGCATGGACGCACACACGCGTGCTCGCATGCTCCCCTTCGCACGGTNAGGAGGAGGAGGAGGAGGGAGGAGGGTGATGAGCATGGACGCACACACGCGTGCTCGCATGCTCCCCTTCGCACGGTAGCCGTATGCACTCCAACGCATCGACCGCCAACGCGGCAAACTCGAAGACTCACTGTTGCACCTTTTTTCTGTGTCGACGCGTGAAATGCCTACCACTTCGAATTCGAATTCCTGTCGCCACTGCTGCAAGGGCATCACAGAAAGATGTGTGCCCCTCGTGAGGGCATTTCAAGGGTGGACCGACGAAACGCCACCAGGGGTCCAGTAAGGGCATATCAGAAAGTACGCCCCATGGTGACAGGGGCCTGCGGAAAATTTCAGAGGCCCGAGGGGCACCACAGGGTAAGTCGGCCTTCACAGGGGCACGCCGCAATAAACGCAAACTTCGGGGATATTTCGAAAATTTTCCCTTTTTTTATATATATAGAAATTCGAAGTTTCTGATTTTTTTGAAAATTTGAAATTTGCAAACCTTCGAATACAACGTACTTCCGTTCTATTCAACCATCCGCTCTATATGGACGCGGGCCCCGGTTCCCGGCTTGTATAATACACCAAAATGACTTCACCATGCTACATTCTTCTCTCAGAAAACCTGTTATTTGGAGGTAAGTTGAACGCACATACGCTTTTTTTCAGGTTAAACCACTAGTACCTTTCCCCGGTGGGAAAATAGGGAAAACTGACAGTAGGCGAACCGGCCCAGGCAAAACGGCAGGACCGGTGGTAACCCTTTGTGAAGCAACATCTTATCCCGTGGCTACCGTAGTGGGACCGTGCTTCTGCTCACACTGTCGAAACCACGTCCAGATCTCTCCGTTTGCAGCCAGCGGGCACGTCCGCCTACTTCCCGTTTCCAGGAGGTTTCTTGTAGAGTTGAAGAAGGGGCGCCTGTCAGTCATAGCGAGGTGAGCAACTCTTCTCTCTCTCTCTCTCTCTCTCTCTCTCTCTCTCTCTCTCTCTCTCTCTCTCTCTCACGCTCTCTCTCTCTCTCTCTCTCTCTCTCTCTCTCTCACGCATTCTCTCTCTCTCTCTCTCTCTCTCTCTCTCTC